TTGTTGGTTTTTCAGGGGTTTAAATTTTTTTTTTTTTTTTTTTTTTTTTTTTTTTTTTTTTTTTTTTGTGATTTTTTTTTTGTGTGTTCCTTGTCTAGAATGTTGATTATGGTGGATCTGAAGAATCATAGTGTAAATTCTGACTTTGTAGCTTTTTGTTGGATGCTATTAACAAATTCAACGGATCTTTTTTTTTCCCCTTCTGGTATTAAGTGCATGTTTTGTATGGTTCTAATGTCCAAACAGGAGGTGGTAAATCATGCCTGGTGCAACAGAAGAGTTGCAGGGTTGGCGAATAAAACAGGTTATATGAGGTGTTAAGGGCAAACTATTTGATTGATGAAAATTCTTTATTAATTAGATTTTTAAATTATCTTTGGTATGAGAAAAACTCGGGAAAGCAAATGGTTCTGATTTCTGAATTGTTTATGTGAGTAAGCCTGTGTTTTACAGCATATTGGGTAATTGGTAGGAACTTAACATAATAATCTTTTTCATAACCACTTGCAACATTTGAGGTTCTAAATAAATAAATAAATAATTAATTAATTAATTGGTCAAAAGTAACAAGACATTGGTGTTACAAATTGAAATTTCTCTACTTATGAACGTGAAAAGCACAAAGAGTTGAACAACCATATTTGATTCTAAAGATTGAAGAAGTGAGGACATAATGGATGCTCATTACTGTCACGTTCATGTTTATTTATATCACACAAGTGAAGAAAATCACTATTTTTTAATTCTATTCTTTTTTCTAAAAAATGAGTAGCTGTGTATATGAACAATTATAGAGATACAATTGGGAAGAATGAACCAAGAAAATAAAGAATAAGACTGACAGACAGTCAACTAACAATAGAAACTATGAACCCCAATTCCCACAAACAAACGGACAATTAATGAAATTTCATGGAGGATCTTGAATCCAGTCAAAACCAAAGAATGCTGGATGAGCATGAGAACTTTCCAGAGAAATATTTGAAGCTCACTATGAAAACTATGGACTGCGATCAAAATGTCGGGTTCGATGAGAGGCCATGGTCTCTTTACCTTCGAATACACAGACTTATCAAGAAGGTGGAGGTGACGAGAGTGAGTTTCCAGAGACCCTGATAAGCAAATTGCAACAATTAGGATATGCTAAGAAATTCATAAGACTCCAATCACTTGTAGAATTTAAATACTACCTTAGATCCAATCCGGTTTTTCCTTTGAGGCTACTAGGAATATCCCCAGTCAGATTATTGTTTTGTAAGAATCTGGAGTAAACAAAGAACAAGTGAGGCACAGCAAGGATTAAGCCAGTTTGTAAAACGCCCAACTATATGAAAATTCAGGCTTCAAAAGAAATATCCAAATCCGTTGTCATAAATCATAAGGTTAATATGAGAAATGAGAAAGTTATGGACGATCAAGAAACAAAAAAAACGTTGGAATTTCTGGCTTGACTAACTTACAGCTCTCGCAAACTAGCGATGTCCCCGAGCGATGAGGGAATTTCTCCACTAAACTGATTATCTTCCAAATGCCTAAAATTGCAGAAGAAAAATGGTCAAGAAAGCCAAGATGAAGATCCATATCCCAGGAAACAGGTCATGATAAACTAAAGGTATAGCAGCAGAAAAAAAATCCAAACAGAAAAAAACCCAAAAAAGATTACTGATCACTTTATCAAAGAACAAACACTAGCGCTTTCAAATTCGTTTTTCAATGTAATATGGTCAAAATCATGAGATTCAATAACTTACAGTCTCTCTAGCCTCTTTAAAGAACTGAGATCAGGAATAGTTCCTGATAATCTGTTATTCCCAAGCAAGCTGTCAAAAAAAATGTGATTGTTAGTGAGCAAATTACTGAGTCCTAAGATCTTATTAGTGAGTTTGTGAATGTTTGATAACTTACATGGAATTCAGTGCAGTCATATTGGCAATACCAGGTGATAATGTTCCAGAAAGGCTCATGCCTGTCAAGTTTCTGAAATGGAAAGAAGCAACAAGTTTTTTAAGCAGCACAAAAATAGATTTGTACGATAGTCAATAAGAAGTCAAAACTCACAGAGTAAGCACACGAATCCGAGGGCCTTCAGAGCAAGTAATGCCGGTCCATGAATACTGACGAGGCAAGCACGGATCGCCATTCCAATCAAGTGGAGGGTTTTCAAGACTATCTTTGAATTGTACCAGAGCAATTACTGTGATAAGAAACATAAATTCTTGTTAAGAAATGGTAACTTTAGCAACAAACGTGTAAATGAATTGTCCCAAATGTTTACAAATTTTCCAGTACAAAGTTCAAGATTCTAAGAAGCATACCATCTCGGGTAAGAGTTCTTCCTCCGAGAGGGAGAACTTCGAATATCTCCCCTCCGTTAATCAAAGGACCAGAATTTGAGTTATGAGAAGGGGTCAAGGTGATCCTTGTGAAACCAGAGAGAGGCCACTGAGTTGCAAAGACAACAACGCCTGCTGGAGTCACATTTAAATCGCGGTAATATGTGACGCCGTTGATGCTTATGTTGAACACCCTTGAGTTGGCTGATGATGAGTTAATGGTATCAGCAAAGTACAAAGCAATGTAGTACTTAGCATCCGGAAGGGAAACTAGTGGCCAGTTCAACTCCAAGGGTTCTGTTTGGCCAGTTGTCAGCCCGGTTTCGAAGATTTTCAAAGGTGGGACGTTCCAAAATCCAGAAACAGATATGTTTCTGCTAGTTGCCAAGGTGTGATTCTCTTTTCCGAGTGGCTCCCAAAACCGGTCGAATTTGTCATCAGGATATCTGGTGACACGGAACATTCAGATCAAGAAATTGAACAGAATTTTGTATTTTACAAAACAAAACTAAGTAGAATAAAAACTACAGTGGTGAAACCCACACTAGTTACAATTTAGAACAGAAATCAGTCTATGTTGAAAATTGGTTTTGGAGAAGAGCTTTGAAGAAATTGAAGATTGTGATAAAGATGGTTATATGTTCCTAAATTTCCGCAGCTAATAACCAATTTGGTTTAAAAAAAAAAGTTTGATTTCTCCAACTGTTATTTTCTCTAGATGATACTATAGTTCTCAATTATCTTACTCAAGAAGCAGAAGTTATTAGCACTTAAAAAAAGTATAATGCAAATAGAAAATAAAGCTGAGAAATTGTCCACTGCATTGTTATTGATTCTTGTTCCCAGCATTTAACATCAAGGAACAGAGAAATATGAATCCCCTAATCAAACAATGCTCAAATTGCTGAAAAACTATGATAAACAAAATATATATGAATGAATTCAAAAAATTTCTTAAACCCAGCTGAACATTAATCATCAAGAATCCAAAAATATTGAGAAAAAATGCTAACTTCTAACAATAACATGAAAATGTACCGTTTTAATTCTTGTTTTCGACATAATTAACACACTTATACTGCTATTTCAAACTACAATAACATAAAAAAATCGATGCATTAACCAGAATTAATTGCTTAAACCCAAATGAATATTGATCGTTAAGCATCAAAAAATATTGAGAAAAAGTCCTTGTTAAACATACCTGATCACAGAACCAGCATACCCAAAACTTGTCCTTTCAACCAAGTGAAGACCAAAATTCTTGAAATCCGTAGAATTATACAAAGAATCATCGAAAATCACAAACTCCAGAGCCGATATAAAAGGGTCAGAATCTGTGTAAGAACTAGCCCCAATACAGACGCTCATGGTGCTCCCTTGCGCAAGAAAAACCCCTTCGTAATACGACGACATCCCGTTGGCGTAATCCGACGTCGTATTGACCACGCTCCAGAGCGTCCCGTCGACCATCTGATCGAACACCGGCGGCGAATCGCGGCCGTTGATCCCGCCGTAGAAGTACGTCGTCCGGACCATGTACCTGGCCCCGCGGTACACCCGCACGGTGTAGCAGAACTTGCGGTTGAGATCGTTCGGGAACGATCGGACGGTCGAGAGGGTGGGGTCGAGGACGGTAACCTCGAGGGCCTTGGGGGTCCCGCCGGAGACGAAATTCGCGTCGGAGCGCCATCGGCGGCCCTCGATTACCGTGTCCGTGGTCGCGCCACAGTCGATCAAAATCCCTTTTCAAAAAATAAATAAATAAATAAATCAGAATCATCAAATTAGAAAGAAAAAAAAAAGTTTCTTCTTTTTTTTTTCCCCCTTTTCGTAAATTACCTTTGGGTTGGGAGAGAGAGAGAGGGAAGAGAGAGAATAGAGAGAGAATGAAGAAGACGACGAAGGAGGACATTGTTGGTGAGGAATTGGCATGTACGATAAACTGAAAGAAAACAGCATAAAAACAGAGGTTTTAGAGAGAGAAAGTGGGTTTGGTCTGGTTTGGTTTGAAGTGGTTTAGAGAAAGAGAGAGTTGAAAGGGTCTAAGTAATGGCTGAGTCAAGCAAGAAAGGAACAGGATATGGAGTTGGCGAAGAGGAAGGTATTATTATTATTATTGTTATTGATATTAACTCGGTCGAACGAACTCAGTTTTCTTTTTTTCTTTTGAAAGGAAACGAACTCAGTTTTAACTTCTTGTAGTTCTTGTCAAGTGGAAGTTACGCGGGAAAAATAATAAATAAATAAATAATGAAATGAAATGGAAAAAAGAAACACGTGGCGAATTCAGAGGCGGATAAACACCGGCAGTTATTGTTTGTTGTTCCTCGGTTGCGTGCACTACAGTAACGGTTAATTTTGTCCTCTCTGTAAATAAATAAAATAAAATAACTAAAAAAAAAATTAGTTTTTGTTCGATTGATTTTCAGAGAATCAGAGGAAGGGAAAAGAGGTTGGCCATTATTATTCTTCTTTTTGTAGAATTGGTTAATTGTTTGTTTAGGGGAAGAATTTGGTTAATTAAGGTTTCCATCATTTCATCATTTTAAATTTTAAATTTTATATTTCTATAAATAAAATTTTCAAATAATGTCACATTTAATTTGTTCTGTTATAGTTAAAAATTCTCAGAAAATATTACATCTAAACTCAAATTGAAAACTCGAATCCGCAAAGTGAATGAGGCCTAAGTTACATATTAAAAATTTTTAAATTATTGGATGATGGAAAAAACATGATCTTACTCTTGGAAAGAAAAAATTATCATCTTTTAGTTGATAATTAATAAGAAGTTTCTCTGTTAGGCCACCTTATTGTTAGGATTTGATTTTTAAAAATCACATCAGATTAAAAAATATGCATAACAGATAATTTTTTATACAAATCTGACGGTAAAAAAAAAAAAAAACTATTAGTAATTCTTTTTTTAAATCATACTAGAGAAACTTACAAAATGTTAACGAATTTGATAGTTTATTTTCATTGTTCGATGATTAGAAATAGATTACATGATATATTAAAAAAAAATGTATTATAGTATTTTCCAAAATTATAGGGGAAAGAAAAATTTGGGAAGAGTCACTAAAGAAAATAAGAAAAGAGTAAATATTATAATGAGATAGGTGGGATTCAAATGAGTTAACAACGAATGAAAAAGGGATGGTTGTTTTTTTTTTTTTTTTTCCTGATCAATAAGGGATGGTTGTTACTATAGGTGAGGGATTCATTTCTAAATTAAATAATATTTACAATATTGTTCTTCCAATTTTTTTTATTGATCTAAAGACTGAGTCCAAAACAAAAATCTGAACAACATTGTTCCCATCTCATTTTTCCAAGAACCAAGTTTCAGTCCAACCACTCCAGCTCCATATCTCCACTTAATTCTATGTGACGATTGTATTGTATCTATGCATTTCATTCTTCATTCTTTGTTGGTTACTTATATTTTTATTAGATAAAATATTTTAATAAAAAGATTAATGTGATTCAAATTTAGTGTACGTTTGATTAATAAATTTAAAATCATAATTTAAAATTATTTTTATTTTACGTATATTTTTTATGAAAAAAAATAATATAAAAAATTATGAATTATAATTTAAAATTAAAAACAAATATAAGAAGCAAACATCTCATAAACGATCGAGAGATTTATAAACAAACTCCACTTATGAAAATTTTATAACAAAGCACGCGTGGCACAAGTAGATAAAGGCTCAGACACAAGAGTGGGTTGGGAAGGACAAGACAGTGGGTTTGGCCACTATCTGCCGACTGAAATGGGGCCCTAATTTTTGTTGAAATGGGCCAGTAATCACGACCCACTTTCTGTTTCTTTTCCTATTTGTTTTTTTTTTTGTTTTTTTTTTTGTTTTTTGCCCTTTTATTTAATTTCAAAGTTGAAAGCATCCAAAATTTCTTTATTTTAATGTAGTAATCATCATCGGATTCCCTAATCCTGCTAGTTGGTTCGCGTAATTGTTATGTTCTAGACGATGACAAAATCAGATCCTCCAAATTTTTCAAGTACGTATGTCCAAATACTAACCACTAAGGTGCTACTCTAGTGATATTGTGCTTATTGTCTATAGTTTAATGGAGGTTTCATATTTGACACGTTTGTTTTGTAGATTTAAACTGCTATTTAAAGGATATTTATTTCCTGTATTTATTTCTTATTCTGAATCATGATTCATGATTCTCTACAGTGTATTTCTCTCACAAAAAAATACACGTAAAACGAGAATAATTCTAAATCATAATTCTGAATCCATGAAGCAAACGTCATTTTATTTGTTCTGTTTTTGACACTCACATCATAGATTGGTTATTGCATTGATTGATGCTTGCTCATGGGGATAGTTAACATTGTCCAAAGATAACGGGGCCAAAGCTCTTTTCACATCCGATAGTGCACAAAACATATATATATGCACTTGCTGAAAATCATGACCACCCAGTCATTAATTCACGTGCATGATCAGTCCATGACCATCGTTTGGTAAATGATGAGTTTATTATGCCCACGCGTCACCTTCAATCTCCAAATCCCTCGCACCAGGAAATCGTATTATCCAAATTTCATAATGTTATACACCAAAAGTGGACTTATGTGGTGGTAGAGACACCTACTAGAATTGCATGTTTAATTGTTATATTTAATTCCAATATATCTCATGACATTTTCTAAAAAAAAAATAATAATATTAGGATATCAATTCAAATCTCAATTATTGTGTTTAAATTAATGTGACATTTAAATTGTAATTTTTTATTAATTAATTGATATGGTAATGTTTTATACATCTACTAATATAAAAATAATAATTTACGTACATTTCTTTTTTATTTTCGACAGGCCAGCACCGTAGCACGTCTATTAGATATAGTTGACCATGAATTGTTCATGTATTCCTCTAATTCATGTTAGTTTTACATATTATTGTTGAATGGGATTTGTTATAATAGTATATTTATGATGTGACATTGCCATATGACTCGCGGAACATTTAAACACCAATAAGACCGACGTCAAAGCATTATGAGCACCCAAACATTAGAGCACCCGAGCGTTCGAGCGTTCGGGCACTTTATCGTCGAATTAACACCCAGCTTGACTTAAAGGCTGAATCTTGAAGGTCACACGAGAGTCATCAAGTAGTGTAACGGTTGATGATTAAAGATATTTAATGACCGATTATTAAATCATATTAATTATATTATCGATTGTAACACTTCTCTCCTATAATTTTATATGTAATAAAAGAGAATAGCACTCTATTAAATGGGACGTACGAAACTCCTCATTCTAATATACTATAATTTATTTTAATTTGAGAGAAAACATCATGCTCTCTATTTTTAATATAAAACTATTCTTTTATTTTGTTTTTGTTTTTCTTCGAAGCTATTTGTGTTATTTGGGCATTCATCTAATTTTCTTTTATCATTTATTTGTTTAATCTGAGTTGTTCGTGTCAGTGAGAAAAGGGTAAAAATATGTGGACCCAGCATTTTCCACGGCCCAAAGTCCCAAAACTTACCCCACTCTCTCTCTTCTTTCACTCATCATGCGCACATTAGCCAAATTCACCCATTTTTTACGCTAATCCCCGGCGGGAGCGCACGTTAATTTCATTATCAAACAATGATAATCAAAATTAAAAGTTAAAACCCGGGAATTAAATTTCTGAAAAAAGAAAAAAATCCATTTTGGCCGGTTTAGAGCCGACACCTCACCGGAAAAAAAAATTAAAAACTAAAAAAAGACAAAGAAAAAGAAAAGAAAACGAAGCGTTACTGTCTTTTTTTCTTCTCCCCTGTATTCCCAAAATACCCCCAATCTCGCTCTCTTTCTCTTTCATTCCGAGCTATTCGAAATCCAAAATTTCATTTCGGATCAGGCTCTGAGTGGCTTGAAGCTTCCTTCTTCAGGCGTCCATGGAGGTTCCGAGGCGCCAGGATCAGTGCCTCCCGGAGAGGAAGGGCCAGAAGAGGAAACTGGAGGACGAATTCGAAGAAGACCGCGAGATCTCCGCCTCCGCTTCCGCCGACGCCCGCCATGCTCTTCTCTCCGAGGTCTCCGCGCAGGTCCAAGTCCTCAACCTGACCTTCTCTTGGTCCGAACCCGATCGCGCCGCGGCCAAGCGCGCCACTCACGTCCTCGCCGAGCTCGCCAAGAACGGTAAGAATTCCGCCGCCGCCGGTGCTTAACTTCCTCCGATCTCGCTGGATTTCTCGTTTTTTGGCTCGGAAACTACCTCAAGTCGTGCTGTTTTCTCCCGATCTTTCGTTTGAGCTTGTGAGGGATTAGGAATTTGAGGCTTTCCTGTTTTTGGTTGCAGAGGAGGTGGTGAACGTGATCGTCGAAGGCGGTGCGGTTCCGGCGCTGGTGAAGCACCTTCAACCTCCTACTTCAGGCCTAAGTGATCGAAGCGCGAAGCCGTACGAGCACGAAGTTGAGAAAGGAAGTGCCTTTGCACTAGGGCTTCTTGCCGTGAAGGTCGTTCAATTCACTTAATTTTCATCGCCTTTTATTTTCTACTTAATTTTTAATTAGATATCTATCTCTGCTTGATGGGTGCTTATTTTAAGTATGCAGCTTAAATTTTGATTTCAATAATTTCTATATCAATCCGAGGGATATATTTACATTGCCAGAACTTAGTGACTTTACTTGCCAAAAAAAAAAAAAGAATACATATATATACTTTTCCTGTGTCTGGATGAACTGTATGTCCCTTTTCCTTAGCTAGTAAAAGGCAAAGATTTTGTTTGTTTTGTTTTGTTTTTTTTTTAATTCTTTCTTTCTTCCGATAGGAGATTTTGTGAAAAAAGATTTTTTTTTTCTTTTTAATCAGTGTTCTTAATTTCTGATATTGTGATACGAACCCGTAATTAATCAAAATAAAAGGATAGATTTAGGCTTATTTTCCCCTCAAGATACACCCATTATCCATAAGCCTGCCCACACACTTAATAAGATCACTCCTAATCGCTTGATGAGATATGCAGCGGAAATAACTAGACAATCTAAAGCCAACTAATTTGACTAATTCAAAATCCAATAGAATTAATAATGATAGAAACTAAAATAGATATTACAAAAATAAAATAAACAAAATAAATGCTAGACTAATTAGGAATCATATTGCTTCTGATAATGATGTTCCAAAAATGGGAGAAACTAACGCGGCTAATCTCCATGAGATATTTGTTTCAAGGATTACATTTACACGTAAATTGTAATTGCTGAACCCTCTGTTTCATGTTTATCTCTTGACAGCCAGAGCATCAACAACTTATTGTTGACAATGGTGCTTTGTCTCATCTTGTGGATCTACTAAAGAGGCACAGGAATGGTTCGATTTCTCGGGCTGTAAACAGCGTCATTCGTAGAGCTGCCGATGCAATCACTAACCTTGCTCATGAAAACAGTAGCATCAAAACACGCGTCAGGTTTGCTCATTAGTCTAGTGTTGGAACTTTAATGTTGTTGTCGGCACCCGGTATATGTTCATGAGAAATTGAATTTGGGTTTACAGGATAGAAGGTGGAATTCCACCACTGGTTGAGTTGCTCGATTTTACTGATACAAAGGTGCAGAGAGCAGCTGCCGGAGCACTGCGAACCCTGGCATTTAAGAATGATGAGAATAAGAATCAGGTAGTAGGAAATCAGGGTAAAATTGGATATTATAAGGCTGATCTGGATGTGAAGTAATGTTTGTGATGTCATGAACTTGCAGATTGTTGAATGTAATGCTCTTCCCACCCTCATATTGATGCTTCGATCTGAGGATGCTGCTATACACTATGAAGCGGTATGTTTTTGGTTAATTGACTTTGTCCTACGCCAATTAGATCTTACCAGGCTTTCTTCATGCTATCTGCAGCATCAACTGATTTTCATGGTTTTCAGGTTGGTGTGATTGGAAATCTGGTACATTCTTCTCCAAATATAAAGAAAGAAGTCCTTTTAGCTGGAGCGCTACAACCTGTTATTGGATTACTTAGGTTAGTCTTCCCGATATTTTCATTGCTCATTGCCCTTTTCTCTGTTACTATGCTGTTGATGTGTTGTAATGTCAACTGAGCATTTTTTTTTTCACTAAATACTAATGGCTTTTATATTTGGATAACAGTTCTTGCTGCTCTGAGAGTCAAAGAGAGGCAGCTTTGTTACTTGGGCAATTTGCTGCCACTGATTCTGATTGCAAGGTGGATTCATTTTCTTTCTTCTCCAACTCTATTTTCACCGACTGGCGACTAGAATATTGCAACAATTTTGTCCAACTTTTTTCTTTGTTAAAGCAAAGACAAAGACAGAATTGTTTAGGTTACAGTTGCTGTGCCATGCTTTTACATTTCATTTCCTTCTTAGTGGTTGTAGCATGGAAGCAAGCATAGGTGTTTTGGATGTCGACTAATTGCACATTATTGATATGTCTTTTCCAGTTTCTGAAGATTCTTTGATATGCACGTATTTGCATCCTTTACTCTTCCTTTATTACTGTGTTAAACTTGTAGTAATTTTGCAGGTTCACATTGTACAGAGGGGTGCTGTCCGCCCTTTGATTGAGATGCTTCAATCCCCAGATGTACAACTGAGGGAGATGTCCGCCTTTGCACTGGGGAGGCTGGCACAGGTTTCTTCCTCTCTCTCTTTGTTTTTCTTTACGTTCTTCAGGTTTCTGATGGCACCATTTTACGCAAAAGTTACAACTCACTCTTTGTAGAAGATGAGCATGTGCTTGCACGCTTATGCGTATGTTGTTGTAATACCTATGTGTATGCACATGCTTGCTAAAATCAAAGTTCATCAGATTCTTCGTGGTTTACCTGCTTCTGTGGGTTGTTAATCACTTCAATTTGAAATTTGTTTTCATCATGACAATTGAAAAACCTCTGAAGTTGCTTCAACAATTGCCATTTCAGTTGTAACTAGTCAGAGTTATATTATGGTTGGCTTGATTAGTATTTTCTATTTCAGGATACACATAACCAAGCTGGTATTGCGCACAACGGGGGTCTAGTGCCATTGCTTAAGCTTCTTGATTCCAAAAATGGGTCTCTGCAGCATAATGCTGCATTTGCTCTCTATGGCCTTGCAGATAACGAGGTATGACTTTATTTATTTTGTCTCTACCTGTGGATCACGTCTTTCAGTTGGTAAAAAGATTGATATTAATGCCACTTTGATTTAATCTTTTGCTTTGCTTATTCATTTTCTCCAATAGGATAATGTATCCGATTTTATTAGGGTGGGAGGTGTCCAGAAGCTGCAGGATGGGGAGTTTATTGTTCAAGTAAGTCTTTTTCTTTTTTGCTAGATGTTATTTTATTATCTTGCTATTTAAGATTAGCTGTTATTGTTACCCTTTCTGGCTTCTAAGTTTACATTTAAAAATGTGATTCAAATATATCTGCAGGCAACAAAAGATTGTGTGGCAAAGACGTTAAAAAGATTAGAGGAGAAGATTCATGGAAGAGTGAGCACCATCTTTTATTTCACTATTAGTATTATTATTGCATCGGTTTTAGTGGTGTCACGCCACTTGCCAGGGATTCACTTTTATTCTCATGTTCAATAAATATTATTGTTCAGAAACTTATGAGATGTCTGATCCCTTAATTTCTTGGGGCAGGTTTTGAACCATCTGTTATATTTGATGCGTGTGGGGGAAAAGGCAGTGCAAAGACGAGTCGCTTTGGCCCTTGCCCATCTTTGTGCCCCAGAAGACCAGAGAAAGATATTCATTGACAACAAAGGCACGTCATATTCTCTTATATTATCTGTGTTAATTCATATTCTTCAAATTGCAAATTGTGTTATTTGTGGGTTTTGCTGGTCTGGAGTAATGATATATACACTAACATGCAGGATTGGAGTTACTTCTTGGGCTTCTTGGTTCGACTAGCGTCAAGCAGCAACTTGATGGTGCCGTGGCTCTTTACAAGTTGGCCAACAAAGCTACAACTCTTTCTCCTGTAGATGCAGCTCCCCCGTCTCCAACACCACAGGCAAGATTATTTTCTGAACTCGATGGTCTGCAACATCTGCCCATGATTTTTTAAATTAGATACCGTTTCTGGGCATCATGTACGGTCATCATGGTGATTCTGGTGAATTAATATGGCTCGTTAGCATGTCTGGTCATGCACTCTCAAAAATCTCGAAGAGTTAATCTTAGTCAGCAAAGACTCCTCAAAAAATGTTAGTTAGGATTATATTACTTATTTCCTTATCATTCTTCATATCTTTTGATGCACTTATTGTTTAGTCACTGTGCTAGCCCTTGATCATACCTACACTTGTTCAGCTTTACATATATGTGTTGGAGTTTTGTTCTCTGAAGAAGATAGGGGTTCAGTCAGTTTTTTTTTCCTTTCAATTTCCTCATATTATAATTGTTAATTTTCTCTGTAGTCTATGCAACTTATTTTAGTTTTGTTATATCCTGCTTCTATATTTTGAATTTAGGAGTAATGTAAATGGTCAGTACAGATGCACTTGGCATGGTCGTTCTAACATTCTATGCACCACCTTGTAAGAAACCTTCAGTAGTTCATTTTAAAGGAAAAAAATCTTATTGATGTCTATTCATTAGAGTGCACACAAATATTAAACCGATGCCCGACTTCAGCGTGAATGTTAGGGTGTAGCACCTCAAAATTTCCCTTTTAATTCTCATTATTCTCAACAAAATAATTTATTCCTTGAAATATGCAATTAGCATCAATTGCCTGAGAGAAATGTTTTTGCAGGTCTATCTTGGGGAGCAGTATGTCAACAGTCCTACGCTGTCTGATGTTACATTTCTAGTTGAAGGTACGCCTTTTGCATACTTAATGCTACTTCTCTATACATAAAGGAAAGACACAAGATTGTGACTGCATTTGTAAGCACGTGTATTTATAAATTTAATTTCTGTTGCAGGTAAACGGTTCTACGCTCACAGGATTTGCCTGCTTGCGTCTTCTGATGCATTCCGTGCAATGTTTGATGGTGGTTACCGAGTGAGTACTCAGTTGGATAATTACCTGCTCCTTTCCCCTGTTAGTTTCATTTTGAGTTTGGTTCTACGCCCTTGGGTTTGTGCATTGAGATAGCAGTCGAATTGGAGCCTCATTTTTGCACTGTAGGTTTTATGCTGTACATCATTACCTTCCTTTAAAATCCCGGGTAACAGTGTTTGTCATGCAAAAATGCACAACGTAGGATGGAGGATTTGCTCATGGTTAATAATACTTTCTTTCTTAACTTCTCTTCCCATGTATTACAGGAGAAGGATGCAAGGGATATAGAGATTCCTGACATTAAATGGGAGGTTTTCGAGTTGATGATGAGGTTTAATTCTAAACTGTGCTTTCCTTTTTCCAGCCGAATCTTCTTTATCGAGCTTCCGTGATTTACTGGTTCAATTGCGTGCAGATTCATCTACACTGGATCAATAGATATTGCAACTGATATTGCTCAAGATCTTCTTAGAGTCGCTGATCAATATCTCTTGGAAGGTCTTAAGCGACTTTGTGAGTACACAATTGCACAGGTGGGTGTAGAATACTTCTTTCACTGTCTCACCGTATATTTTTCTTGATTCGCTACGTGGGTTTCTGATTGTTATGTTATTTTGGCAACTCAGGATATATCGTTGGAAAATGTTTCAAGCATGTATGAACTATCGGAAGCCTTCAATGCTTTGTCCTTAAGGCACACGTGCATTTTGTTTATCCTTCAACAGTTTGAAAAATTGAGTGCTAAGCCAGGGTATGTGCCTTTTAAAATCCACTTTTTTTTTTTTTTTTCTCATATTTTTTTTTCCACTGAATAATAATCTCTCTCGCTCGCTCTCTCTATATGCGGGGATTATCACAGGCCCTCTCATCTGATCCAACGGATATTGCCCGAGATCCGCAATTACTTTGACAAAGCACTTACTAAGCCTAACACACATAACCTGCGGCTGTAGATTGCCGCCCCCTCTATTCTTGATTCCTAACAGAATACGATGTACAGAAAGCGGTAGATGTTCTTCCTGTTCTTGAGCCAGTAGAAGGTTCTAATTCGTTGATTGTTAGCTTGACTTATTATTCATTTGAAATCCAGAGTGCTCTAGTCTTGTTTGTACGCAATTCTCATTTTAACGGAATTTGTCTGCGTTAGTGTTTGGAGTATGACCTGCACGGACTGGACTTGTATGTATTATTACTTTTGTAGTCTTTGCTGTTTAGTGAAGTGGCAAGCATTCGAAAAATAATTTTCTAGCAAAAAAGAAAAAAAAAAAAAAACGAAAAATAGTGTGTACTAAGAAGAATTATTTAGTAAAAACAGTTCTCTTTTTATGAGGTTACTTTCTGTCAATACCATAGTTAGTTGATGCATCTAGAACATAACGAAGTCAAAAGATTAATTTAACAGTGAACGTGAAAACAGTTTTTAAGTTTTTGCGAAAATCATTGTCTAGGAAATAAGAATGTCGTCCGTTTAAAAGAAACGTTTCTTTTGTTCACAGGCAAACAAATCGGCTATGGGAAAAGAAAATGACATCAAGGAAAATGAAATGTTGTCCGACATTTAGGTCTCGTTGTGATTTGAGTTTTTAATTTGAGCTGAGATGTGATATTTTTTGAGAGTTTTTAATTGTAATAGAAAAAGTTAGATGTATCATTTTTTTAAAGCTTTTAACAGTAGATATTTAAAATTAAAAACTCGAATCGGTGAAATGAACGAAACTTTAATAGCAAAAATGTATGCATCTTTTCAGATAAAGATGACTTTTTAGGTAAATGGCTTCTTGTTTTTAGTTAAAACCCAAATATTGTTCAGGTGGAATAACATTGTGAGTTCACTGTTGTAGTGAAATTACTATTGAATTTGTTTAAGGTCAGTAATTGAATCTGAACGATTTAAAGAGTTAGTATTGTGATCATAGTAAATAAATTGTGGAAAAATAAAATAAAGATAGACTCAGAGAATTTATAGAGATTCACCCGTTAACGAGAGTTGCGTCTTCTGTAGGGTCGTCAAATCTTCCATCATAATCGTCAAATAAAATTACAATGGTAATGAGAGTAAGAAGAGGAAGAAAGAAGCGGGAAAATCGAGTGAACAACATAGGAAATATAAATATAATGTGCCTAGGGTTCCTTGATATGCGTGTACAGCTTGTGTGCATGAAGGGTGCGTGTATATGCTCCAATGTATATATAGATGTCAAATGGGCTGGGCCGTCCATGGATGGCCTGGCCCAGCCCGTAATAGTGCAAGGTTCAGCACGACTCGAAACTATACTATTATGGGTCGTGCCGGCCTGGAACGTTAAACAAACTAGGGTTGGGCCTCGGCTTCCCAGCCCGCGGCACAGGCCCAGCCTTAGCCTGTTAAGGCCGTGATTCGGCCCAAGCACGTGTTCGGCACGCGATGGGCCCAACGGTCACATTGCGGAAAATGGTCACCAAATTATCTATAAATACCTCTAAATCCCACACAACATTCACCACAATAATTCACTCACAACTCCTAATCTCACTCTCATTCTATCTCTCATCTTGTCTCTTTGATATTGATTCTAAGCTTTTCTCTCTCGATTTTTTATTTTTTTGCTCTTTCATTTACAAATTTCAATCAATTTGAAGAAATCTCAGAAAAAGAAAGGTATTTTACTTATCAATTTTGTTACATAACATTGTAACATTGTATTACTCAAGTTATATTGCTTATTGTTTATAAATGAACGAATTAACATTAGTTTCTGTTTTTGTTTTCAGAAAATGGCCACATCAAATTTCTCTGTGCTCCCCGAGCTTAGTGATGAACCATTTTACGAGGATGAAATGTTGATGCATAACTCCAACCTTACCGAATCGAAAATTGTTCCGGTTGATAATCAATCGGTGCACAACGAGGAAGTTGGAGAACGTGGCAGGGAAAAAAGACCGCAAACTGCGCCCGCATGGTAACATTTCACAGAAGAGCCCCGACCAAATTCAAAAACAGGTGAAATGAAAATTCATGCGGTATGTAAATATTGAAAAAAATACTTTTCTAATAAAAAAAGTGAGAGTACTGGCTATCTAGATAGACATTGAAAAACATGTCTACCGTTGCACCAAGGTGGGAGTGTGGACTCCCGTCAACAAACACTATCACTCACATCACAAGGGTTGCAAAATTTTACATACGATGCACAACGTGCTCGTGAGACACTAACTAAATTTTTAGCTAGTGTCGAATTACCTCTGTCTTTTGCAAATGATGCAGCGTTTGAAGAATTCATACAGACGACATTCTGCCTACAATTTATATAGGTAAGTAGAAACATAACTCGATCTGATTGCATGAAAGTTTTTTATACAATGAGACAATCTCTAGTTGATAATTTTAGGTCTTTTAATGCTATAATATCTTGTACTTCTGATCTTTGGGAGGTGTGCAATAAAACTGAATATTTATGTATCACGGCGTATTATGTTGACGATGAATGAGTTTTACAGAAGAGAAAAATAGGTTTTTATTTATGTACATTTCCTCATAACGCAACTGCTATCTTTTCAACTATAATGGAAATTTTTAATTATTATGGGATAGAAGATAAAGTTTTAACAATTACTTTTGATAATGCGTCAGCTAACACAACTGCAATTAACATGTTTAAACTTAATTTGAAACCACCTTTTGGTGGTGAAATTTTTCATCAACGGTGTGCGTGTCACATAATAAATTTAGTAGTACAAACAGGAATTGAATAGATTTCCTCTCATCTAACAAATATTAGAGAATCGTTATCCTTCATATCTAGTTCTGGAGCTCGTCTCCAAGAATTTCGATAATATTGCAGGAACAGCCAAATGTGCCTAAGAAAGTTTCCAACTGATGTGAGACATAAGTGGAACTCCTCCTACCTAATGTTGAAGACTGCAATTCCGTATCAACAGATCATCACAACGTACGTCAACAGTAAGCATAGTGAGCATTTAATTTTCGATACAGACTGGAAGATTGGTGATTACTTTTTTAAATTTTTAAAAGTTTTCTACAACGCTACTGAATTACTTTCTAGAGTTTATTATCCTACTGCGTATTTAGCTTTGCATCAACTATTTAATATTTCGGAAACATTTTCTTACTATAGGGATACTGAACTTTTTAGAACCATAGTTAAGCTAGTGGAAGCTAAAGTTAAAACTTATTGGGCCGGTTGTCCTATATTATATGCATTAGCAACCATTTTAGATCTTAGATGCAGATTAGATGAGACTGAATCTTTGATGTCTGCTACAGCAGAAAATTTAGATATTGATATGCAACTAACTATTGTTGATGCTAGGAAAATGTTAGAAAAATTATTTGCTTTGTATGAAACAAAATACGGAACATGACAAAAAGAACAGAGAACTTCGACGTCAAGAAGCAGTTTGGGGCCTAAAAGTTCATCGTGGAGCTTTTTGAAGAAGAAGGAGAAAGTGTCAGGATCGTCATCAACACAAGCGTCTTCAGAACTAGTTAAACATTTTGAATCAAATTTTGTAATCGATGACGACAAATTAGACATCTTACAGTGGTGGAGGAGCAAGACCGATTGTTTTCTAACACTGTCCATAATAATACGTGATATTCTAACAACTCCAGTATCAACAGTAGCATCGGAGCAAGCATTTAGTGCAAGCAACCGAATTCTTGACAAGAAGATGAGTAAAATGTATCCGAGTATCTTGGAGGGGGTAATGTGCGTTAAAGACTGGGAAGATGCTAGAAGACGAAAACAACAATATACAATGATTCAATTCAAGAATATTTTTCGAACTTAGACATAACAAAATCTTCCTGAAGCAATTCTTCAACAATGTAATTTACTTATCCTAGAATACTGCACTCTTTTTTCCTTCGCTAAAGTTTTATGCCGATCTCTCCACGGGTTTTACTTGGCAAGATTTTTAACGAGACAGTCATTTATGTGTACTTATTCATATTATTTCAATTAAATAAATTTACATCATTTGGGGGCATATGATATATTTTCTTTTTTTTTTAATTAAATATTACATAAAAATAATTAAAAGGGTCAGGGCCGACCCTGGCCCTTATGGACGAGGGCCTGGGCCAGTGCTGGGCCTGAGGGAAGACCCTCAGACCTGGCCCAAGCCCGTGGTGGGCTTGGTGTTGGACGTGCCGTGCCGCTCAATTTTGAAAACTTAATTGTATAAATTCCAGGGATGGCAACGGATGGGAGTGAGTGAGGCGGGGATTCCCTATAGAGGGACATTTCTCGTGCCGCTCAATTTTTAATCTAATATTAACTATACATTTTAAAATTATAATAATTAAAATAAAAATTAAGCATAAACTTAAATCAAAGCAAATCCTAAGCATATGCAAATCAAATTTAGTAATAAAGCTACAAAAAGACTAATTATGTTTGCGAATTTAATATTCTATATCTTTATTTTTATAAAATATGAAACAAATATATTAGGTAGGAGACGGGGTGGGGAGTGCATCTCTCATGCTTGCCCCACCACAACTCGAGAACACGATTTTATCCCTATACTCGTCCCTAATTATTATCCTCTTTAGAATAATAATTAGGGACATTCAGGTGGATTCTCATCGTCATAAGGATTAGTGTCATATCTAATAAACTCTCCTGTACACTTCTACATGAAACAAGATTTTTCAGTTTTTTTTTTCTTTCTTGAAACAAGGTTTACCATTCTACACTACACATTTCCCAAGATATGACTGTCTTTTGTGAGGTAAGTACATACAAACCTCTTTTTCTTATTATTATTCGAAAACGAAATTCACATGCTTTCATTATTTGATATCTAGAATGCCCGTACGCTCTGCAGCTTTAGCATCAGAAAGGAATACCAACTTGAAGTTCAAATGCAAAACTCAGGAACAAAAACATGCATAATTTGTTAAGTCTATAAGCAGCCTCCAAGAAGCAAGTTGTTATCGCTTATCCAGATTCAGTAGTAACAAGACAAATATTATAGACACAAAACTAACTATAAAAAAAAAGGCGCTTCTCTAACAATAATTCAAATAGCTCCGTAGTTCAATGGTATTCATAATTTGTCAAATTCACTTTCTTTTTTATGTCATTTATTAGGCCGCCTTGAAAGACCAATAAGTATTTGATATAGGGAAAAACTTGACCAGACACAAGATACGTGTCATGGCTCAAGCATATATTGCCCCACCACTCGTAAGGTTATTGTTGTCTCTATGTCAAAAAACAAAAAAAAACAAAAATCTTAAGAAACTGGTTGCTTATTTGATATGATAATTCTATAAATAGTAAATTTAATTTAAGGTCTCGTTTATTTTACCGATTTAAGTTTTGGTATAATAAAAAATTCTCAGAAACAATCATATATAATATTTTTACTATAGTAAAAAACTCACATAAAGTCAAAATATGAAACAAATATATTAGGTAGGAGACGGGGTGGGGAGTGCATCTCTCATGCTTGCCCCACCACAACTCGAGAACACGATTTTATCCCTATACTCGTCCCTAATTATTATCCTCTTTAGAATAATAATTAGGGACATTCAGGTGGATTCTCATCGTCATAAGGGTTAGTGTCATATCTAATAAACTCTCCTGTACACTTCTACATGAAACAAGATTTTTCAGTTTTTTTTTTTCTTTCTTGAAACAAGGTATACCATTCTACACTACACATTTCCCAAGATATGACTGTCTTTTGTGAGGTAAGTACATACAAACCTCTTTTTCTTATTATTATTCGAAAACGAAATTCACATGCTTTCATTATTTGATATCTAGAATGCCCGTACGCTCTGCAGCTTTAGCATCAGAAAGGAATACCAACTTGAAGTTCAAATGCAAAACTCAGGAACAAAAACATGCATAATTTGTTAAGTCTATAAGCAGCCTCCAAGAAGCAAGTTGTTATCGCTTATCCAGATTCAGTAGTAACAAGACAAATATTATAGACACAAAACTAGCTATAAAAAAAAAGGCACTTCTCTAACAATAATTCAAATAGCTCCGTAGTTCAATGGTATTCATAATTTGTCAAATTCACTTTCTTTTTTATGTCAATTATTAGGCCGCCTTGAAAGACCAATAAGTATTTGATATAGGGAAAAACTTGACCAGACACAAGATACGTGTCATGGCTCATGCATATATTGCCCCACCACTCATAAGTATTTGTCATGGTTGCTTATTTGATATGATAATTCTATAAATAGTAAATTTAATTTAAGGTCTCGTTTATTTTACCGATTTAAGTTTTGGTATAATAAAAAATTTTCAGAAACAATCATATTTAACTTTTTTACTATAGTAAAAAACTCATATAAAGTCACATCTCAACTTAAATTAAAAATTTGAATCATCGAATTAAACGGGCCCTAAATAAATTACATGTTTATGCATTTTGTTAAATTATAATATTTTTTGATTTAGATTCAATATAATCCAACACGTTAAAGCTTATTTTACTAATAAAACGTATTTTTTTACTTATTTAATATAGATATTTCCACAATATTCCATCTATCTCCACACCTCTTATTCTTATTATTGTTTTTTTCTTTTCTGTTCTCTCCTGATCTCTCATGGCTTCCACTACCAAAGAAATAGCTACAGAGATCCTCCCTTTCATGCGGGTCTACAAAGACGGCTCCGTCGACCGCCTCCTCGAATCGCCGCTCGTCCCTACGTCGCCCGGCGACCCCGAAACCGGGGTCTCGTCCAAGGACATCTCAATCTCCCTCAACCCCGCCATTTCCGCCCGCTTGTTCCTACCACCATTAAACCACAACAACCAAAAGCTCCCCGTCCTCGTCTACTTCCATGGTGGCGGCTTCTGCTTCGAGTCCGCCTTTTCCTCCGATCACCACCGCTTCCTCAACAGCCTCGTCTCCCAAGCCAAAGTCCTGGCCGTTTCCGTAGAGTACAGGCTCGCTCCTGAGTATCCTCTTCCCGTCGCCTATGAAGATTGCTGGTACGCCCTCCAATGGGTTGCTTCCCATAATTCAAATCACGATGATCGTGATGATCATGATCAAGACATTACCAAAGAGACGTGGCTGACAAACCATGGAGACTTTGAAAAAGTCTTTCTAGGAGGCGACAGTGCAGGAGCTAATATTGTGCATAGCATGGCCATGAGATTCAGCAAGGAGGATTTGAATAATCGGATCAAGAGTATTTCTGGAGCTTTTCTTACTCATCCATACTTTTGGGGTTCCGAACCTTTGGTTGGATCATCAGAGCCTTGTGCTGAGGAGCTTGCCAAGTCCATCCCACGTTTGGTTTGGGACTTCGTTTACCCTTGCGCCCCCGGCGGAGTAGACAACCCGATGATCAACCCGGTGGGGCCCGACGCGCCGAGCCTGGCGGGGCTCGGGTGCG